GTGCTAAAGTAAGCTCACCCCAAACGAAAGGACATGTTATTTAGCTTGACCAAGTGAACCCCACCTTTCAATTGCAGTCAACTCCAAATGGTATGGTACTTGTAGTGGGTATATTAGATAAGCAGCAGGCCTCATATATGTAATGGGTCCTCAGCTAGCTTTGTTCCTAAGAAATGGAGATTGTGTTTGCCAGACACCAGAACAACTCCAAAAGTTTCCATGCTCGTAATTGTATCTTATGGAATTCATACAGTAGGATTCAGTTTGACTGATTTTTCTTGGCTAAACTGACTGGCTGTGTTTATGTCATGTAAACATAGACATTTTTCTAGATAAAGAGATTAAATTAATAGATTTTTAAATCACTCATATATTTGATGGACATATTAACTCTTCATTCACTGTCAAATTTAGGCTGATATGTGTCATGATCATTGTTTAAATTTTCTGTTCTGGAACTCAGCAAAGTCTGACACAAATTAGCCCTGTCAGTCTTATTCCTCACCACTTCCCTACTTTACCTGTTCTTCGTGTTTATTTTTACACTTACAGAACATTTGAATTAGAACTAGCTACATTTTAAGTGCAGTTGATCCCATATGGCTAAATGGATACTGTACTAGGCAGCACAGAACTGAGAGGCTCTCATCAGATTCTTCTGTCCCTCTCCCCAACCCTACACCCTCTCAGTTATATCTCAACTCCTTCTTTCCTAATACAGTCCTGAGACCAATATTTTTGACTGCTGGGGAATTGGTGTTTCTTCCCATGCACATAGGACACCTCTGGCTTTAATAGTCCCTTGTTTGTTTATAGCTTATACTTAGAGCAAATCTGTTTTTTTTTTTTTTAATTCTAGTGAAATATAATAGGCTAAAATTTAATATTTTAAACATTTTTAAGTGTATATTTCAGTGCCGTTAAGTACACTCACATTGTTATTCAACCATCATTACCATCCATCTTCAAAACTCTTTCATCTTCTGCAGCTGAAACTCTATGCCTATTAAATGCTAACTCTCCATTCCCTGGAAACCACTGGTCTACTTTCTGTCTCTATGAACTTGACTACTCTATGTACCTCACATAAGTGAAGTCATATAATATTTGACCATTTTTGTCTGGTTTATTTCACTTAGCACTATCTCTTCACGGTTCATCCACATTGTAGCACATGTCAGAATTTCCTTCTTTTTTAGGGCTGAATAGTATTCCATCATATATATATATATCCCACATTTTGTTTGTCCATTCACTTGTCAATGGACACTTTGGTGCTTCCACCTTTTGGCTGTTGTGAATAATGCCGCTATGGACATGGGTATACAAATATAGTTTAAGTCCCTGCTTTCATTTCTTTTGGGTATATACCCATAGATTGAATTGCTGGATCATATGGTAATTCTGTATTTCATTTTTTGAGGAATCACGATATCATTTTCCATAGTAGTTGCACCATTTTTCATTCTAAGCAGCAATGCACAAGAGTTCCAATTTCTCCACATCCTTGCAAACACTTGTTATTTTCTTTCTTTCTTTCTTTTTTTTTTTTTTTACTATTAACCATACTACATTTGTTTTCATTACTATTTCTGTATGACATTAGGAATATTTAGTAGCAGTAAGGCCAACTTGAATCTTGATCAATATATGGACCTAATAATTTAAATATTGTATGGTATAAGTCAGTCATTTGTACCTTGATTATTTGATGAATTATATGTTTTCTGGTTTTATTAAGAACTCCAGACTAGGACTTTGAAACCCTACATTCTCATCCTGGCTTTTCTACTACTCACCATCTGACTTCAGGGAAGTAGCTTAGTTTCTTTCGTATTTAAAAAATGGAGACGATCATTTCTCAACTACTATATTCCCAGGGTTGTTATAATTATCAAATGCATTAATCAGTTTCAAATGGCTTTGAATACTTTGAAATAATAGATTTATTTAATGGCTTATCATTGTGGTTATTGTATACATCACAATGATTTTGCTTTACATTTTGGACTAATTCCACTTTATGTAACACTTATGTCTTGTGTTTTCTTTTTGTATTTTGTTTAATCATTGATTGTATACTGTTCAGAATAGCACAATCATAGAGTGTTAATACAACTATCAAAGGCAATTATATTACTAAGGAGAAGTGCTTTGTTCATTTTCTTTGCTTTCTAATTACATTACTTTGCTTTCTAATTACATTATATTTTTTAAATTACATTTTAATTCTAAAATTTGAGTGAGATTCATATCCCTTGATTTGTCAGCCTCTTAAATTAGATGTATTACTGAATCCCGGGGCCTGTAAATAACAATGAAAATTGAAGACCAAGAAATTAATCTATTGGTTTGACAAAATTTTGCTCTCTTTTTTTCGTATTTGCATGCAATTCCTAGAAATACCTTAATTTGATTTCTGTAAGCACCCAGTTCCTTTCGTAAACAGGAATAAAGAAATTCAAATGGCTATTTGATTTATAGGGAGTGAAGGGACAGTTTTTATCAGTGAACTGAAAAACCTACCTATTACTCTTCATTTTCCAACTAAGATGTAAACTAGTTTTTCAAAACCCTGAATTTTATTACTCCATTTAATGGAAATATTGAGAACTTAGTGATTGCGTTGTTCTAGAAGAGAAAATTGCTCATTTTGCTATGGCACCAGTGAGTTTTGTTCTTTTTGAAACTGCAGACTTTCAGATGTCAATTTGGAAACTTCTCTGGGGACTCAAAACCAGAGATGGCCACCAGGGTTAAGTTATTGGAAAAGTTATCTGCAGTGGTAATTATAATGGTACCATTTTATATTGTCACAATTGAAGTATTTCATATACAAGTGAGAAACAGAAGAAAAGAAAAAGATAAAGATCCTAAGGAATGTCTTAAGTAGAATCTATGAAATAAGAAAACTAAAAAATAAATTGCAACTCTAAAAAACTCACCTACAAAAACAATAAAAAATGTATTATTTAATGCAAAATTAGAAAGCAGCATTTTTCAAGTACCTCCAAGGTGAAGTTTAAGAAATTTGTGGGTCAAAATCAATTCTGTATTTTTTAAAAGAAAGATGCTTTGTTTCATCCTTTGACATTCTGATTTAGCAATCTGTGGTGGGGTCTGGGGAGGTATGGATTTGCACCACTGATTAGGTGACAGAGTTGGGAAAAACTACTTTATGGCATCATAGAAATAGTTTTCCAACTGAATAACTTTATTACTTCTTCAGAGTTCCCCTGTGCATTAACCAGCTCTACTTGAATTACCTACTTGTGCTGTTTGAAAATTACAGGATCAACTCTCTGAGCTGGTTTCCTCTGTATACTCTGTTGTTTCAGCCAAAGGCATTTAGTTCTTTGGGGATATTGGAAGAGCCGTTTAGTGCAGTAATTGAAATATTGCAAAATCTCATTTAAAAATATGTGTGTTATAATTTTGCATAAGACACTTAAATATATTTTGTACATATATTTTGTACTGCTCAAGACGTGGTCTGGGTTTCACCAGCATCAGCATCACTTTGGAGCTTTTTAAAAATTCACAGTCTCAAGCCCACTACAGACCTTCTGGTTCATAATCTTTGTTTTAACAATATCCCTAGGTGATTCAAATGGACATTGATGTTTAAGAAGTTCTACTGCTGAGTATGTTGAAAGAAAACTCTCCTCATCACTGAGCTAGTCTCAGGCGAAACTCACTTGTATTCTTGCCTCTCTTAGTCTAGTTTTGGATTTAGAATATCTTAAGCCAAAATAACTTGTTACTATATTCTCTGAAATCTGTTATCCAAAATTCTCACAAAGAAATCAGCTCCTCGATTTTCTTAAACATCTTTGGGTATTCACTATATACCAAGCCTTTAATCCTCATAAAAATGCCATTTTTCAGATTTGAAAATGTGTTCAAGTTGGCAAAGCTAGTAAGTGGCTCAGTCGGGATGTGAACCCAGGCAATGTGGCTCCCAAATTGGTACTCTTAACCACTCAAAGACCAAGGGGTGAAGCTGTTGGATGCTGGAAATAATATTCAAATTATTAAACCATCGTGATGATAATTCAGTAGACAGAGATATTTAACTGTTCCTAAGTCAAGGATAAAATTAATTCCTGATATTTAAGTGAAATATATGCTGTTACACAATGACATTGTTCTATCTCACAACAGTATTATGAAGCTGAATTAATGTATTCAATATGCTGATAGATCTTATTTTATATGAATACCTATGAATTAAAAAACATTGTTCTTTCTAAGCAATAATCTAGGAACAGCCATGATAATTCACAGATGACCGAGCTTTAGAGCCAGACAAAACAATAGAGGAGAAAAGGACCTGTTTATATAGACGTAAACTGATATCTCACAGTTGCGTGATCACATTTTCTATTGATGAATAATTAAAAAGTCATGGACTAAGTTTCTTACTTTAAATGAAGGAAATCTGGGGTAATCAGGCATTGCTTTGACTTCTTTCCTCCTCTCTGTCCTATCTCCCGTTATCATTATACACATAGGATGCCCTGAAAAGTGGCCATAGATATTTCAGTTTAACACAGCAATGTCATATTTCTCAGGGTGGGGTAAAGATTAGGAACGTGTAAGTAAATATTTTTTCTCTGCCCATACTAGATTTCAGATTAAGGACCAAAAAGCAAAATAGCAATTTCTACCTTTAAATGCTGTATCTCCAATGTCTCTACCTCTGGATGAAAATTCTGTTATATAAGTAAGGAGACTGTAAAGACTCAACCCTTATCTATAAGAGAACAGAAACAACTTATATGTCTGTAGTTCAAGAAGGCTTAAAAGGTTGTGACTGATAGGACTGAAGGAGAACCATGTGTGTCCACTGAAAACAGTATCAAGTTAAAAACTCTTTTACAAAGGGGAGAAGACCTAGTTATGAGAGTGGAAAATATTATGAAATCAAATTTGAGAAGTTTATTGAAGCCAAATTGATGTCCACTATCATAAGTAACCATTGTGATTTTGCTTTCCAGTGTGTATGTACAGAGAACCATCACTACATGAAATTGGAGAAAAACAAGGGCGTTCGAGGAAAAGTTCTGGAACACCAACCATGAATGGAGGCAAAGTCGTGAATCAAGATTCAACATAGCTGAGAACTCTTCCCTTCTTCCCTCTCTCACCCCTTCCCTTTCTCTTCCCTCCCCTTTACCCATCTCCTCCCAATAAATCTACCCAAGGAGAGGAAAATAAAATGGCAACACAGGACCTAGTGACTAAGATTCTACACTCAAAATCTTCCTTTGTGTAGGACAAGAAAATTGAACCAAAGCTTGCCTGCTGCAACATGGTAGAAAATTCACATGCACAAAGATTAGCACACATAAAAGCAAAAGAAAAAAATAAATCAGGACTCCACAAACATTAAACTGTGTTGTTATTAATAGAGGGCTAATTTTAATGAAGACAGTAATATCAAGATGAAATAAAGTTATTACCTTGATGGAAAAAATTTTAGAGAATTAAACTTACCAATTGATGTTTTTCTCTAAATAGCTTAAACTCTGCATAATGCTGTGATGTGTGGTTTGTTTGGTTATATATTTTCTTTGGGCATCTGGAATTGACACAAAATTGCATCCTGTTTTCAGGATTTTTTATGTACCATGATATTGAACACATATGACTTATAGACACTTCTAACGCCTGTAAGCCAGGTATCATTAAACATCAAGAAAATTTTTTAAAAATTATTTTTGAAGCTGTTATTTAAGATTGTTTTATTCAAAAGGATAGTCTTGTATTAAATATAATGGCATTAGCTGATTTAATTTCTTCATAAAAAGAATTTCAAATTCTCCTAGGATAATATCATATTTTAATCAAAGATTTTAATCCAGGATCCAATTTTTTTTTAGTCATTTTGGAAAAAAAGTTCTTTTTCTAACACTAAAGTAACTTTTGGGAATTCTTTGCCATTGCTACATCCGGGCAGTGAGGTATAAGTTACGTGGTCTTACCACTTGGTCTGATTTTTTGCTTCGTGTACATTTTTGAGAGGTTCATGTTCTAGCTTTCTCAGAGAATTTTGTACCTTGCAGCAGGAAAGAAGGAAGAGGGCTTTTACATAAGGAAATAAGTTCTAGGAAATTGATCAAAGCAAATTGAACTTGCCTTTGTACCTTACCAGAGTTTTAGGTATACAGCATTTTCCAAATTCTGCCAAGAAATTGGGAGGCGCATGGCTGTGAAATTCCAAACTTACTATCATATGAAGCCGGAAGTTTGTTTGTTGCTGGATGTCTTTATAAGTCTAGTTGACAATCAGTCTGTTTCCTACAACACAGAAGGATACTAGTAATACACTAAATTTTCAAGGGGCATAGAAAAACCATATGGAATTAAGGGCTATGGCTCCAACATACAAGGTTGCGTGAGTGGCTTAAAGTAGTGAAAAAGAACTCAGTATAAGAGCATAGTTAAGAATACTAAACTTTTAGAAAAATATTAGGGAAGAAATGAATGCTATACAATTGCATTGGAGTAAATAGATTTACTTAGTCCTACAAATCAGGAATGGCATAGACACATCCAAATTAAAACAAAACAAAACAATGTTTAAAATGTATGCAGATTTATGGATATTATCAATGAGAAGACTTAGCATGTAACTTCTCCTATATCTCTACTGTCCAGCATGTATTGTTCCAAATATGACTCCCTAATATATACACTTTGCAGAAGCTCTAGGCCCTCACCTCAAACCTTGCCACTGGTTGCTGTATTCTTTCAAGGTCAGCGTAGTTTCCCTCACTCTACACAGTCATTATTCTTCAGTAGTGGTTTGTGTCCTTCACCAAGTATCCTGTTTATCTTACCAGGAGGTTAGCAGAAAGTGAAATGAAGGAATTTGCCTAATCAGTTGAGAAGAATAAACGTTATGCATCTAAACAAAGATTTTGAACACACATTTGCAAGAGATATTTGTTTAATCAAAATATTTGAAATGGAACAAATAAAGACATTTAATTATTTTTTTTTAAATGTTGCTCTTCTAAGAAATCGATACCCTTAGGGAAAAAACCCACAAATCTGGTCTTATTTCTTCTTGTCACTCTTGATTCAACTTGATTATAAATATACCTGACACTTCCAGGACCAAGCAAATCCCAAGCACAAAGCCTTATTTTCTTTGAAAAAATAAAAAAAAGGGCTTTGACAAAAAGAGGCTCTTTTAGCAAGAAATAACTTGAGTTTTGTGGTGAAACACACACACACTCCTCAATGAATGGTTTCACAAGTAATACTGTTAATAGAATTCACAATCATCATTTACATTGATGATCTCATGACAGAATACATTTAACCCAGTTAATTATGAAAAAATATGATAGAGAGATGAATCTCCAACAAAATTCCTCCCTCTGTTTTCAATGGCTGTTCATTGTTTATCATCTTGACTCACATTTATCTCCTCCCTAATAGTGAAGAAGCACAGTTCTAACCACCCAATTTGTATATTGTTTTTCTCCGTATCATGTTAAGCAAATGTTCACTGAAGTAAAATGTTTTAGAAATTAGTTCTATTTTCAACTCATTTCAGAGAATGAATTAGAATCCTCTTATTTCTTTTACAAATAAACCTGACAAAAAATGTGGATTAGAGCACAGGGTGAATGTTTGCTTAACTGCTGCTTATTCTTAAATACATAAAACCTTTAATAGAAAAAGTCAGTATTCACTGTCTTGATTTTGAAAGATATTACTAAATATAGATATATAATGATCCAATTTCCTCCAAAAATATGAGCCAGTTTAACTATTTTGTTTTCCAGATTTATTCTAAGTATAATATTGCTTTACTTTGATTTTCATCATTCTGAATTCTGGGTCTTCAATTCATCTACCACTTATTCTCCTTTAAGTGAAATGCACTTTTTTTTTTCTTTAAAAATGCATTGGATATTCCCAAGAAAAATAAGGATTTTAGTAAAGCTTTGTAAGTAGCTATGTAGATATTCTAAGAGTCCTTATTGTAATATGTTTCAAAATCAATGGGCTTACCATTAAGAACAAATTTTTGAGAGTCTCACAAAATATCTATCTGATCAATGTACCTTACTTAATTTTTAAGCTGCAGGTTTGAGGTATAGACACAAATGGTGCTGAAGTTCCATTTGCTAATTCAGAGACTTGTGCTTCAGGAATCTGAAGGACAGCAAGCCATCCTATTCTTGATCATAGTAATAATTTTGGCTCTGAATTTTACATATGAATTATATAGCACGTTTTTAGCCACTATGGATTGGTGGTACAATAAAGAGATATCAATGTAATGCAACGTGATGCTTCATGGGACTCGTGGTAATTCAGAAAGCTTATTTAGAACTCTTTCATTTAAGAAAATGACAACACTGTAGATAAGTATTATATCTAGATTGGTGGTCCTGTGGTGCCACTAGTGAGAGACTAAATTATTAAGTAAAAGATGAAGAATGGCTTAATTGTTGTGTATTGAAAAGTTTGAAAGTCCTAATTTGGGACCACTGACTTCTTGGTGAAGAAGCGTGACTACATCAACCATAATTTTTTAAAACTTAGGCCCAGAAATAACAAATCTACTATTCCACCCTCACAGCTTAGTCTACAAGGCCTTGCTCTTAAGAAGGTTTTCCATGATGTTGCTTAATTTCATCTGCACAAGGTGAGACACAGTCAAACATAAAAACACCCTGTTCATTTTAATACCATAAAAGGCTGAGGTTATTTCTCTGTCATAAAATTGTAAATAGCATTTTTTAAGTCAGACTTACATTTAAAACAGTGGATTGTTCTACGAATATATATGTGTATATATACATATGCTTCTGAAATAAGAGTATAATATATAGAGTTTTTATTTGATTTGTGTTCTTTAGTCATAGTAATCAAAAATAGAGATTTGAATGCAAAACTTTATATATAAATGTATATTTCTAATGATGGTACAAATTGACACTTTATAATAAAAAAAGAAATAGGTGGGAACAATCAAAGCACACGCTCCTTCAGAACTTCAGTAATTTTTAATCCCCTCTTTGAGCAGAGGTAATTATTTTTTATTTCTAAAAAGTTATCTTAGAAAGCTATACTTTCTGATACAGATTCTATGATTTCATAGCAGATTGAAAAATTATGGTTGAGGGGAAGGAAAAGGATACTAACTGCTGATCTTTATTTTTCAAGATTTTTCCTGGATCTCAAGTTAGGAATTCAACTTTTAAATCTAAATTAAGTGAAAATTGCTAATGTTCAGAGATGAGAGCTTCAGTAACAAACACAAGTAAAAATAATGATATTTAATATTATGATAATAGCATTAAAATAATCTCATAATAAAAAACTGCATCATTAGATGTTTTATTAGTTGAAAAGAATGAGCTGCTATTTCTTTGTCTTTGCTCCAAACAAAATGAAAAGACAGTGACATTTATTTTACTCAAACGTGTTCAAAAGGTCCAAAATATACTTCCATTAATAGAATTGGTATAAGCTACATTACAAGGTTAAATGTTAAGATTAATCTCTTAAGATTATTGACAATAAAATGTCTAATAAACATGCTAAATGAGAAACTGAAGAAATTAATGTTGTTTTTGCATTAAAGCACAGATTATTTAAATCATTGTTTTTTGAGATCAGATTTGTAAAATGTTTATACATCACAACCTTCCTGAAGTGAAAAGCAACTAAAATCTTGAGATGCTCATGCATGTAGACAAAATACTGGCACTTTTTTTTTTTTAACATTAAACTTTTTTGAGAAGTCTCTCTCTCTCTCTCTTTATTTTTTTAGTGTGTTTATCCTGTAATGTGTTGCTGAAAAAGTGCCAGGTCTCGTACAAAAAAAAAAGATCAAAGATGGATTTATAGATGGGAAATAAGTCAAATTTTATTGAACAGTCAAAAGTAAACATGACTTTCTAACTATGAAGCTACCTATGGTAACGTGACATCATACTTTTCAAGGATTAGGAACTAGGGCATGTTATTTTATTCTTTTATTCATAACCTACCAACAAGGGACTTTGTTGAGTTTATGGGTCATAAATTAAATTAGTCTCAAAAAATCCTAGGAAGGTAGACACATAAATAAGTAATGTAATACCTGAAAGTATGTGTTTTAATAGGTCTGTCATTAAGATTTTGTATACCACTGATGTTGATGCAACAATGAAGCATAGAGGGAAGACAGGGATTGGAAAAAGAATAGATATTTGCTGAGTAATAAAAGAGAGATGACAAGTGGCCCTCAAATAGAGGAAATAGTTTGAATAAAATGTATGAATACATGCATAACATGATTTACCTGGGAAGTACTTGTGGACAAAGCAAGGAAAGAATATTCAGAAGAGGATGTGGGAAAAAAAACTGAATTGAGATTAATAAAAGTGAAAAGTTATTCAAAGTTTTGTCAATGCACTCTTTAGATTTGTTTGAGCCTCTGCATCTGTTCAGATGCTTCTGGTTGCTCATACATAATCCCCAAACTGAATTAGCACTTCATCCAGAGGCTCGCAGCAACACCAGTGAGGCCCAATTTATCTGTAGTTCTCTCAGCTCTGCCCACCTGCATGTACATGTAACTTCCCTCTTGGAGTTAGGAACTCCTTTAGAAGTTGTAAATGTCACATATTTATATCGTCTCTTCTCTCTTATTCCCCTAGAAAACATCTCATATCTCACTGGCCCAATTTGGGTCATGTGTCTATACTTTAGTGAGCCACTATGGCCAGGAATTTAGGATGTTTTGACTATTTTAAGTCAACCAGGGCCTTTTCCAATACCTGGAGGTTGGATGTACTTTTCCAAAGATACAGGTCTGCATGGATGAGGGGTGACTATTTGAATGAAACTCAGAGTTCTTATATCAAGAGAAAATAGAAATGAATAGAAAAAAGTAGTAAATCTCCATTACCTGCTAATAAATGTATTTCTTATCACAGCTCATTGGATATTCTAAAAACCAGCAGAGGAATGCAGATATTAATGAATTAAAGCTACTGCCATAAACCATGGGGACAAAGAAAAGCATTGAAAATTCAGTTCCCAAAGCATTATTAAATGCCTGCTATGCAGAAGGCACTGTGCAGGTCACTGAGGAAGAGAGAAATAGCTGCAATTTTTTAAAAATGTGGTGCATTTGACGATAACTGGTATGAATAATTTGGACATGTTTAATGCTCTTAAATGACTGTTACAGAGAGGTCTAGAAAATGCAGCTTGGCTCTTCTAGATCACAGGTTTATACCACACCCATAAAATCACTGCTAGGATCACGCCATTGCAAAATGCTTCTCTGAATGTCACCCCAAGCAGTCATTCCAGGTCCTAAATTCAACTATTAAAATCACCTGGGGTAGCCATACATGTCTTTCTTGAATCCCCTCTACAGATTGTAGCATATGTTTGAACATTTTGGATGATGGTAAATACTCAAATTTACCCAAAACAGACTATTCCACTTGTGGACAGTACTGATTTATATTTATATTGCCATCAAACCCATGGTTACCTCTTCCAAAAATTATTTTGGTTTTCCACCCACTTCCTTTGTTTTTTGCAGAGGAACTAATATACTTTGAGAGTAATATGCATCCTCTGAGAACAAGCTTTCACTATTCTTTAGCCCTGCCTATCCATTGCAATTTTCTGTCTTTTAAAATATGTCCCTGACCCAGAGAGGCACACAAAGACACAGACAAGGAGAAAATAGTAAAAGAAGGTCTTTAATATAGGAATTGCCCATGAGCCTATCCATGTTGACAGGTTGGCTTGTCTCTACCAACTCTGTTTTCATTGCTTGCTTCATCTTTTTACTCCTTCTAAGCATTTTCAGATTGTCCCACCACTTGGTTGACTAACTTAGCTCTGAACTAGTTTATATTTCTTTTCCCTAGGTTTTTGAGTATTTTTCTTGCTGGCAGCTTCACTCAGAAATACTCACGTACTCCTGTAGTATATCTGCTGCTCACATCACCTTCACCTCTATGAAAATAATGGCTTAAATAAATTAGGTTTGGGAGTTTTGGGGTTTTTTGTTTGTTTGTTTGTTTTTTTCTAATGTAATGACAAGTCTGAGTACAGATGTTGCAGATATTATTTGGACCAGAGACATCAGGACCCAATTATCTGCAAATCTCAGTAGTTTTCCTTCAAAATACCTTCTATTCACAGTTCTAGACATCAAGTCCATGTTTAGGACAAAGGAAAAAGGCAAACAGGAAGATAGGAAGATCTGGTACCCGTACCAGGGAAGCATCTTTCCCAGAAACTCTCAGTTTATATCTCATTGGCCAGAACTGGAGTTTCATTAGGCAGAAAGAAAGAGGAATTGATATTGGGTTAGGAATTAGAAACCCCTCTCACAAAATGTGAAGTGCCCTCGAGGTTTGTGCTGGGCATAACCACAGCCCCTTCCACTGAGTACATCCTGCTACTATAGGTACTGACGTTACTGATAACACCACCAGGCTATAAGGTACAGATATAAGAATTTTATTGCTTTCCAGGATACTTGTTTCTCTGAAAAGTTGAGCCACTATCATCCCTGACATCCTGTATGACAAGGGAAGCAAACTGCTTATAAACTCTATGTTGTCTGGGGGTCCCCCATAGGAAAACAATGAGAAGCACGCTGGATGCATAAGGACATGGGTTCTTTCCTTCAGCACTATGAACTAGAATGGCACTATTCTCTAAATCATGTACCATGAAATCTTGGCCAGATCACCCTGGAATGATCTAGCATAGGTTCTGTTGGCTCAGCATATGTACTAAACTAGGAGAATGGCTGTCACAAACCCCCTATTTAGTGGCCTCACTGAGGTACCCACACTATTAGCAGATAGCCAGTGCTGGCACATCTCAGCACACATGTGACCTAAGCATAGAATTATAGACAAGAGTGACATGAACTTGCTTGATTAACCCACTCTCCTTCTTAAATATTAGAGCTAGTTTTGACCTGGCTCAAAACAAATGACTGCGACCTGTTAGAATATAGCCAACATAACTGAATGTGGACTTGCGAGTACCCACTTCTCTGATGCAGAATTTTATGTAGTTATCTGGAACTTGGTTCTAAAAGCGGGAATTGGAGGGGTTAGATCTCTCTGCTTCCTCACTGTCTTCCCCATCCAGAGCCATAACCATGTCATTGCCTCTACAATAAGGGCCTAGGTTCTGATCAAGTGTACATGTCCCTCTTTCAGGTGGAGAACTCCAAGAAACAAATCATCAATAAGAATGCATAAGATTATCTCATTTTCAGACTTTTCCATTTCTTTAAGGAAACAAAAAGTGATTATTTCAGCCTCAGCATAGTTATCATATATAATCTCTATGTAGATTTAATTCCTATTTCTGCTTGGGACATATTTAATGGTTCTTAACCTTGACTGCATATTAGAATCACCTGAGAACTTCTTAAAAATTTACTGAGGCTCAGGTCTCACCCCTAGAAATCCTGATGTAATTGGTTTGAAGTAAAGACAGATGATTCTCCTCTGCAGGAATTGAGAATCACTCTGCTAAATGAACTCCTAAGAAATCATAGCTTATATATATTACATACTTATTCAAGGCTGGATGAAACTGACTTTCCAGAGAACTTGTAAGTTGTAAATGTCCATGAGGGTTATGAGTGGATGACTCCCTTTTCTGACAAGGCTTATGCAATTTGAATAGCAGGTGATATTAGATGCTAAACCTCTGCAATGTCCCTGCCATATTCCAGCATCTTGCCTAACCTCCTAGAGATGGTATAGTGGTATATTTAAAGATTTCTTGATATGGAACTTGGCCTTATATTAAGCTCTTGCCTGAATATTCAGAGTTGATTCAAGGACAGTTTCTTCTTTCTGAGTCCACAGAGATGTTTGCTTAAGCAGCCCCATTGTGTGAGTCCCTATTTTGTGCACAAAATATTTGGATCTGGATGATGTTAATAAGTGTGGCTGCTGTCTTGAAATAGTAGCTTCTGAAATCTTTAAGGGTATCCATGAAGAATCTGGACGTTTATAGGAAACCAGCTTTATTTCCTGCTTCTGCTGTCATGGTTCACAATGCCACTTTGTTTAGGGTGAGCATGCTAAGACAAACTTCTCTGCTACTTGGAAAGGAGATCACTTTCCCTGACAGTGCAGTACCGGCTATGAGAAGTCTCTTAGCCTAAGGGTGGTCTGGTTTATTCTCTTGGATCAGACCACTCACTCTCAGGGCATTATTAAATTAGAACAGCTTTCTCCACACTTTTTTTTTTCTGTGTGTGTACTCAGAGCATAGTGTCCCCTGAAACCAAAATTGTCACCCCTGATGCTCTCTTTCCTGCCCAGTACTACACTCTAGAAACCAAAAGGCAATATATGACTTCCTCTATTACGTGTACACTGACCCTATAATAAGCAAATAAAGAAAAATCTGTGTCTGTTCCAGAAATCTAGGTAATTCAATAGTGTTTGTTTCTATATTGTACAATTTAAGCCCATCTATCCTATATCCCTCCAGTCCTTGCCTTTATTTCTCCCAGCAGAAACACAGCTTTTCACATAAACTCCCTTGGCTTGCCACCGTGATAAGGGAGAGAAAGTCAGAAATTTAGTGCATATTGTCCTGAGTTCCAGTGCTTAGAACCTGCTGAATGTAAAGAGTGTATATCAAAAGAATAAATGGGTACACATTCACTTTCTCTGCCTTTGTCAGAATGCAGGCAATTTCTCTTGGGAAAAGCCTCAGGAAACTTGGCCCCTTTTATTCCAATAGAAAAAA